GAGTAGGCGGGGACTCAGTGGGAAATTACCGAGCACATGTGCGTTCATCTGGTGGTGAAGCCGGATGTCAGCGCCATCTTGATAATGGAGAATGTGGCTGCGGCCTTCTACAGACTGAGGAATTGGGGACCAGAGATGTGTGTATGAAAGAATTTGTGAGGCTCTTTTCTCAGGAAGTATTTCTTCAATTATTATGGGATTCTGAGGGAAGCTGCCAGCGGCTGTTCCTCAAGGTTGATTAGGCTAAGCAGCTGCTGGGAGGAGACCTGGTGATATGGTTGCCACAGTTGCCTGTAACAAGTCTTTGTCCTGCCAGCCAGATCCCAAATAATGACATGGAAACTTCTTATTAATTATTAAAGCTTGGCCGACAGCTCAGGCTAGTTCCTATATAGTTCTTATAACTTAAATTAACCCATTTGCTCTTCATCTGGAGTGAATGCAAACAGGCTCCCCAGGAAGTAATGCAGCAAAGGGACCAGCTTCAACCCAACAAGGAACAAATGAGCATGTCACAAAAGCTAGGTGATGTGGGAACATTGGTCCCCTGTGCACTATGTACTCTTATATGGGAGATGAAGGTCATCTCAGAAATGGAGAGCCTGAGATCTGCTGCTTCCTGAGTCTGCTGTCTAGTTCTGCAGACTTGAATCTGGCACAGTCCCATCACCTCACATTATCCATTCTGCTCCTCTGCTGAGCCTACTGGGAAAATTTACATCAGCAGATACGCCCTCTATGGCTTCTACCTTTGGTTTCTCTTGCTGACAGACCTAATTTCCTCAGGAGTGGCAGGCTGGGGGAATATCTGGAGTCTTTAAGCAGAGGGGTTCTGTAGAAGTCAGCTGTGGCATGACAGAAAACCTGGCTGCTTGTGCTATGTGGGCTGAATGCACTAACATTTACATGGAGTTGTAACTTTCTAGAAAATACTTGAAAGGATGGAAGTTTCTGTCTGAACAACATATTGACTAATAGTACAGTTTGAGGAGAAAAGGAACACCAGGAGGTGTGTATCAGGGGTGTCTCTGCATGCTGGCCCCAAGAGGCCTTTGCATGAAGCTATAAAGGGGATGTCAGGACGTCACTGGAGATCACAAGATGTTGGAGATGCCAGAGTCATGAGATACCTGCTAAGGAAAACTACTAAGAGGGGGTGAGACCAGGCCAAGAGAGAGAATTGAATGCAATAATCAAAGCTGAAAGGAGTTGGAGATATGAAGAGTGCTTTGACATCAGACATGGAGATGCAGAGTTCGCCCAGCTGGTTTTCATTCTTGCTTTAGACTGGTATTTTCTCATTATCCTCCCTTTCCAAAGTTTTGGAATAGAAATATATGTTCTGTGACAATGCATGCTGGGAGTATGTGATCTGCTTTTTGATTTTGATTTTACATGGGATCACAGTCAAAAGATTGGTTGTCAATCTAAGAAGAAATTTTGGAATTTTAAATACTGTCACTTTTAGACTGTGATAGATATGTGGACTTTTGAGGTTGGACTAAACACATTTTGCATTAAAATATAGCTAATAAGCTTATGGGGCCAG